TATGATATTGTGACCGACGAAATTTCGTGACGTGCCTTCTGTCAAAAACAGCCGATCGGCTTACACGCGAGTATTTTTAATTAAGAGGTTAATGAACTCCTGAGCCACTGAGCCATTTTTCGTGTTTGGCCGAAATACGTGGACAAAACATGTGTAGGAATGTAAGTCGAGATAAACCCATAGGATAATATTCAGAATTAGGGGGTACATCCCTGCGCGTCGATTATTGGAACTGACAGACAAAGCTATAGACAAAGACGACAAAAGGGATTTGGTGGGATCCTATTGGTGGAAGCGGGTGGTGGCAAATGGACATAGGAGGTAGGTAATGGACTAACTAACGGCAACCCACCAAAGACCCGACAGTTAGTCAATCATTTTCTTCCTTAGTTTATTGGAACCAACCATGTCAACCAATAAGATCGCTCTATACTCCCTATGTCTTCTTTGTCTATCGCTTTGTCCATCAGTTTCAATAATCGGCCCGCTGGACGATACGCGGCCCAACCGTTGTACGGCGTGTCGCGCCCTTTCAGGCCCGCTTCGGGGGCCCTCACTGAAAAAACATTTTCTTGAGATATTATTATGACTTAGAGCGTCGTTTCTTGTCGACAATTTTATTTATATTTTTTTCAGTTAAATTAGTACGGATTCAACTCAACATCAGTGTTTTTTATTAAAAAAAAGCGCCGTTTTTTTTCGTTAAGTTTAGGTTAAAGAAACGATAGCAAAACGATATTTCTTAAACTCAAAAAAAAAAAAAATTTTTTGACAAGAAACGACGCCTCAAGTCAAAATAATACTTCAAGAGTTTCTTTTTCCAGTGCTTGTCACTTAATCTAAATAAAGCGGGATAATCCAGGGACTATCACCAGAAACAGCAAAATTATAAAGATCGGCCCGTTAGTATTTCGAACGGATTGAGACAAACAACGAACACATACATTGTTTAAATGATACATGGAAAAATATTCATGTTCAAAGAAACATGCGAATGCGAATAAGTGCAGTGCATTTCTTTAATTATCCTTTAAATTCGCATTTTTCGCGCAGTGACTGTATGAGGATCAACGATCATAGACAATGTGGGACACTTCAAATCTGATTTCGTTTTAAACTTGACTGTGCACAACCGTCACGAGAAAGGCCGCCCATCTTTATGAGCACGAGAAATCTGTGACTTTTGATCCGTACTTTCCGATATAAATTTCCTCGCGCAATGGCTACATGAGTTAAGTCGACCATTGCTGTGTATAATCATGACGTCGTTACCTTGACCAGGACCGTTCCCTATGAACGGTTTCTGGACATTCCGCCAACGATTTTTTGTCCGCGCACCTGTCTATGCGTAAAATAAGCAACAGTGACTAGGTCCAAGTGTTATATGTTAGTCCGCATGAGACATTATGTTGACTGTATCGAAATGAGAAAATTGAGAGAACAGGTGTTGTTTTGGTAACTCATTTTTTAAACGAACGTTACTTTCTTCTTTTGATTCATCTTTTCAAATTGTCATTGGTGAATTTTTGGTTTTATTTCATCCTTAAAATTTTCGATATAAAATATACCAAGTACAAACCCTTCTTTTTCTCTTCTTTTTTAAATAAAGATATTACTTCATTTTAAAAACATTTACATTTTCAAAACGTTGCATCCCTTTTCCAAGTGGCGGCATCGATGTTAATCTCAATGAGCCGTAGATCTGTTGAAAGAAACTATAAAAAAATGAATAAAACAGGAAAAAATTTAGAAGCACGCAATCTTTGGTTTTAACCCATTTGTACATCGATCTTTTATAGTCAAATACGTCCAATTTTGAGCGATTTTTTCGCTTATACCACGCTGCAGCACAGTAACAGCACAAAATATAAAAGAAAAAATCAAAGTGGTTTGGAAATCATTAAATTTAACACGGAACCACTCCAATATTTACAAAATACACATTGTATTTTCCTTTAAAACATATTATTTTTCATCAATTTAAATGATAATAATCAATGCATAGTGTGCAAACATTTCAAAATAATGAGTTGAAAAACGCTGACTCCGCGAGTTTAAATATTAGAGCCTCACACAGAGCGGTGCGGCATGCTACCGGCGGGAAACGCGGACTGGCGCCTACAAACCTAACAGGGATACTTCACGCATTGCGCAATGCGTGAAGTATCGCTGTTAGGTTTGAAGGCGCCAATCCGCGTGTCACGCTGGTCGCCCTCGCCTACAAACCTAGCAGGGATACTTCACGCATTGCGTAATGTGTGAAGTATCCCTGTTAGGTTTGTAGGCGCCAATACGCGTGTCACGCTGGTCGCCCTCGCCCGCCGCCCGCCGCTTCAAGCAACTATTTCGCAACATAGGTGTTATATGGATGGAGTTAAACAGAAAGGAACCAAGCCACATCGGGATCGAACCGAGAAAAAGAGGTTCAAAGTTTGGCTCCTGCATAAGACTCAATGTAAAAGATAAACTTCAAGTTCAATTTCTGCAAAATTTGCTCCATCAAAAACTTTGAATTTTTGGCGATAGATAGTAGAGCAGTGGTTGAGTTCAAAACCACTCATAACTCAATTTTTTCCGAAATGTGGGTTGGTTCCTTTCTGCTTAACTCAGTCCATATAGTATCATTCGAAATTGAAGGCTCTCCGACGCATCAAGAATGACAGGCATTCTTTAAGAGTAAGGAGCTTTCCTCTCAAAATAAATCAAGATACTACGGCACAAAAAGAGATCGGTGATCCAAAAACTCACTAAGTCCCAGCATTCGTATTTAGTGACGTTTAGCATAATTTTTGAATTTCGTTAGAGAAAAAAGTGACTCGATTTAGTCAGAAACATTCTTGAGTATGCCAGCAAGAAGATATTATTTTGAACCAGGAATAAAATAGCAACAAGGGTAATTCACATTCACATTACGACTCTATGTACTCTATGGAAGGTAACGACGTATGCCCGATTATGGAATAATCTATCCTCATTACGCACGTGAGCAATGAGTGACTTTACATATTATTTTGTTTAAAATATCCTTACAGTACGGTATCACCACTAGAGTAAGGTCCATAGGTGATGTGAATGTGCGTTTGGTATGTGCCCTCCAATTTTATTCCTTTTAAATCCAAATGGAAAATTACAATCATGAACAGTTTATCATTGCTGCGGGTGCATGTGTGACTTCAACTTTCGATTAAAACTGTGTTGCACATTTCACAAGAGTAAAAAGGCGATCGCTTCTGTGAAAACGCCGGACATGCCACCGCAAATAATCATTCGCTTTGAATTTACTGATACGAATACTGCAGGAGAAAGGCCGATCATAACTTTGAGTTTGCAAGATGTGTCTCTTTAAATTTGTTTTCGTTCCAAAGGAGGGGTTGCGATTTGGGCCGAAATCGGCCCTTCCACGGAAATGAGAAATTTTTGGATATACGGCAGTTGACGGTGCATATTTGACAGAAATAATCGAGTTTTGCCGATACTCACGTTTTTTAGCTGCGAAACAGGGGCCTAAACATGGCTCCGAAGCCGAAAATAGCTGAAATTTCGCGTTTTTCGCGGTTCTACCTCAGATTTTGACCTGGGCCCCAAGGCGACGGGCGATGAGCTTTGAATATGGTGTCAAGGACACCCAGACACGTAACATACTTGTATATGATCAACCGTCGCCTTTGGGCCTAGGTCAAAATCTGAGGTAGAACCGCGAAAAACGCGAAATTTCAGCTATTTCGGGCTAAAAAGTTGGAAAAGTTCGATCTTGAAGTTGGGCCCAGGAGGCGACGGTTGATCATATTCAAGTATGTTACGAGTCTAGGTGTCCTTGACACCATATTCGAAGCTCATCACCCGTCGCCTTTGGGCCCAGGTTGAAATCTGAGATAGAACCGCGAAAAACGCGAAATTTCAGCTATTTTCGCCTTCGGAGCCATGTTTAGGCCCCTGTTTCGCAGCCAAAAAACATGAGTATCGGCAAAACTTGATTGTGTCAAATATGCACCGTCAACTGCCGTATATCCAAAAATTTCTTAATTCCGTGGAGGGGCCGATTTTGGCCCAAATCGCAACCCCTCCTTTACCTGTACAAATACCGCAGGAATATAAGGTCGATCGTTGTCGTAGACGCATGTGGTATGTGTCTTCAGAGCTGTTTTCGTCTTAATTTGTTTAGCACAATGTCCACAAGGGCGAGAGCGATCGGCTCTATATGAACGTGCAAGATATGGCTACACAAACTATAATTAGATTTAAATTTACATGTACAAATACTGCAATGGAACGGCCGATCGTCGAAGTGAATGAGGGAAACGTGGCTCCGCAAAGAACCTTTAGTTTTAAATTCACGCGTACAAATATCACGAGAGAGCCGTCGATCTTGACTGTGATTACGGGCAATATGCCCGGCCAAATATTCTTTCGAGCAAAATACCTTAGCGCAATGACCACAAGAGAAAGACGGATCACCCCAAATGTGGATACGATAAATGTGCTTCTTCAAATTGCCTTTGAACCTGGACTTATATTGACAATAATCGCAGATGAAATATCGATCGCATGCATCAGTTCGCATTGCGAGTTCTTGTGCAGGTGGGTCAATCGGATGCGGTCGGTCATTATCATGGGCCAACTTGACGTGTTTAATCGAATCATGTTCTTCTATACATTTTTCTGAGAAATTGCGGGAGCAATCAGATCGATCATCGTTTTTAGTAGAGGGATCCGTTTTCAGCAATGAAGAAGACCGTAAACACAAATTAGAGGGAAAAGACGCATGTTGCTTCGTTTCACCTGCTTCACGTCCCATGTTCTTGCTCTGAGAATCCAAGTGTAATGTCTTCAATGAAGATACTCTCTCGCTCTGAGAATCCAAGTGTAATGTCTTCAAAGACGAACCTTTTTTTCCTCTTTTGTTCTCGATGGGTTGGTTATTACATATCATTAGACCCCTTGCTGGATGCTGGTGGGAATTCAAACGCCTTCTAGCACGGTGCGCAGTTTGAGAAATATGGTGAGACTGGGGGTGGTGCTTTTCATCCTGGTTTGATACAATTTCTCTTTTCTCCTGTTGGTTGAAATTCTCACGTCGTTTGGAATTTACACGTCTTTTTCCCAATGATTTACGAGGGGTCTTGATCCGTCGCTCAGTTTTGGGGTATTCCAGGACCGAATCGTCAAGAGAAGGAATGAAAGAATTCATGACAGGATCCTGAAACAAATAGCAATTAGTTACAATTGGACGTATTTCTATCAAACGGAACTATGTTCATTAAGACATGAGCCCTGAAACCCATAAGAATACATGAATAATAGGGCTCACGTCATAATGCACATAGTTCCGTTTGACAGAAATACGTCCAATTTTTAACACGCCTCTTTGCTAGTTGTTAAAGTATCGCTCTGCAGGATTTTTAGACAAACAAAGTGTGCGATAGGGTCAAATATTGAGCATGATTTTAATTTATTAATTAACATTTTTTTCTTCTTTTTTCTTTTTTTTTGTTGAACCAAAAAATAAGGTGGAAACAAACATTTGAAACGATTGAAATCATACTCGAGAAAAATGTTACAATATTATTTGTTTAATTAAGTCGGGTTTTTTTCACGTTTTTTTCTTTGGAAATCAGATCTGGTTGCTGGCAACTATGTAGCACTGCCCTTGGCCGCAGACAATTTAAAAAAAAACGTGTGGAAAACCACACAAATTGCGCACCAAAGAGTCATTTCTAGACTTTTTAAATGTGCCCATGATAAATTCCATGTGAATTTACTGATAGAACCAAGAGCGCCTCTTTGCTTTGTTGTATATGTATCTCTTGGATGCAACAGATTCATAATACCTCATCAACATTTCCATTCAATTTTTATTTATTCATGCCATGACTGACCAGTTGTCAGGAGTTTTCAAATTTATTCTCATAATGTAAGTTACGATCAAGCAACACCTTACCTTCTTTTTTGACTGAGAGCTTGGAACAGAATTATTGGCATTCATAGTAGCTGCCGGCACCCTTTGATGATTGTGTAACAATTTTGGGTCAAGTTTTTTGAGAAGAACAACCAACTTACGTTGGCCTGGTAAAATTTCATTGAAATGATAAGGATGAACAACACTTTGGGCAGCTTCTATCACACTTGAATGGTCGTGTAATGGTGATTCCTGATCAGGTATTCTGAGAGGGGCCATTGAATTCTGTCGCTCCTGTGAAACTTCACTTTCTCGTGGAGAGCCTATAATCGATTAAGCCACAATGTTATGAAGTTACATGCAAACAAGGAGGTAAAATAGTGCTGCGTCACTTTATTTTGAGGGAAAAGCGCGAACAAAAAGTTCAAAAATGTTCAATAAGAGTCAAAAAGTTTAAGCACCTATGAAAATCAGTACCAGACTTGGGGAATTCAGCTCAATCAATTTTGGCCTTCTATTCCCCACAAAATAGTGTGGACACAGCACTATTTTACCACTTTGTTACATACAGTTCAGACCTCATATTCTAGTGTTTTTTTTTTCTTCTTGGTATACATGCAAATGAAATAGTTGAATTTTGAAAAATCTCATTTTTAAACGGATTGGAACTGTTTTTATAAAAAAGAAATGGAGGCTATTATAACATTTGTTTTGCACTTTTCTCAAAGACACACATTATGAGACATTCTTTAAAATGCATTATTTTTAATCCTTTTTTTTTTAAAAAAACCGAACAAAAGATAAAGCATTTATTTATAGGTATTTATATTTATGATGCATTGGAACATATTTCCTAGTATATGATCAAAATCAATTTTCTCAAGAGGGCTGGACTCCATCAATTCAGGTCCACTCAAGTGTGGAAATTAGTGCGAATGTGCGTATCACTGATTGACAATTCAAACCTGGGAGAAATCAATATCGACGGTGAAACTACCAAACCAAGTATCTCGTTTGGGGTGTTTAAAAATCTACGCTCACATTTTATTTTTTTGAAGTAGACCAAATCAATATCATTCCTTGAAATTTTCACGGAATTTTCTCCGCACAAAGAGGAAAAATCACAGAAATTTTCAAGACTGGACGTTAAGTAGTTTTTCATTTAAAAAATGAAGTATGACAGGAAGTCTGCGACGTCGCGAACCGAGATACGTGGTTTGGTAGTTTCACCGTCGATATATACCTAAATTACCTCAGTGAGTAAAGTTATCAACCGTGATTCGTTAAAGTGCACGGCCCGCCGTTGTATCATTGGCGTGGCGTGCTTTGCGATGTATCGATTGATCTGTCATTAAACCTGTGGAAAAGAATCGATTAACAGGGTGTTCGCAGCGAACACCTTAACAATCGATTCTTTACCACGGATTCAAATGGGGAAATATCGATAATCGATCATTTACGCCACGCCACTGCATTGTATTGTATTGTACAACCTAAAATTATCCTATTTGATATGCTTAAAAATCTGAACACTTACCTCCTAAATCCTCATCGGTATTGTCTCCCACGAACTCTTCTTTCACCCTGATTTTTGTCTGATGGACGGGATGTTTGTCCCTTCGATTTGGCTGTTCACTTTCAGTTTCTTTTTTCACGACCAAATCAAATGTAACTGGGGGTATATTTGATATACCTGAAAATTAATCCAAGACATGTATTTGGATGTCATAACTCTACAATTTGATACATTGTTGTGGGAAAAGCATTTGTTCGTCTCATGTCCAACTGAAAAATCCTTTTTAAGAATTTGTCAATGTATTGTGACCAATTAATAAAATGTTTATTCAATTAGAATGCCGTATGCAAGCCAAGTTTATTGCCATTTTTTAAAGAAATCAATTGTGCAGACATTGAAACTAGACTTATGTCCTCAAAGTCTGTAATTTAATTATGCCGTACTCTTACATTTACAACATGCCTAAGTCGGGTGTAACCCGACGTCTATTTCAATGATGTGGGCTAAATTTTGCAGAATGGGAGTACTCTTTCTGGCTTATTATAGAAACAACATATGTTCTATCAGTTTCCCCTTGCAGATAGGTACTTTTTTGGGTGAGTCAGAAATAATAGTTCCTTGATGCAAATTAATACAGTCCATGATGGTTACACCCAGATGCAAATATATGTGCTGAAGAGTTGTCCGCGTTTCATTAGCAAAAACGAAGGTACTCAGCTTTTTTCTCCTTTCAATGATCAAGTATTCAATAAACGGAAACTATCAATAAAATAATTACTTAGCTTTCGTTTTTTGGCCCATTTTTCAGTACTTTGGTTCTTGAACGACAAAATTTGACAACCTCATGAAATAGTGGTACGTTTTTTGTTCACCAAAAACCCCGTTGTCTTCTCTCATCCAGTTCATTGCTACGATGCTAATTAGATAGAAGATAAGGTATATAAAAGGCTAAAAAAACCCTTATGTGTTGTAAAAAGCTCAAAGTTTACCGAAAAAAAAAATCATGGATCCACCCTTGAATTTAGTTACAGTCATATCTTATTGTATAGATGTTTCCTGTGTAGTGTTTAAGGCAATTTTTTCAGTAAGAGGATATACCTGCAAGTGGATTCCTGTCTTCGTCAATTTCTGTTTTAATTTTCGTCAGCAAAGGAACAGTTATGTGTTTATGGTCAATCGCTGTGTGTTCACGATCGCCCACGATTTCGACTTCGCATTTTATCAGTCGCAAGATTGGCTTCCGTAAGTAATTTTCTGAGGCGTTTCCTTCATCCATATTGGCATTACGATTTTCCATGAACATAATGGTCAACCTCTGTGGCTCGCGGGTTCCTGTTTGATTTTAATGACTGTACATTGCGAAGGTCTGAAACACTGGAGTTTTGAGTGATAAAAACCAGATAGTTAAATAAAATGAAGTTACAAGAAGTAATATTTCAATGCTTATCAGCATGCATGATATTAGTCCAAAAAGTCATGATTCCAAACCGTTGTGACGACGCATAGTGGATCGAGTCAATTAGAGAGGTCGAACATGACATTTTTTACTGAAACTTCAAATTTTTATATTCAGTTCGTCACATTTTAAATGGGCCGATTGCAAAATTTTGCTGGAGCAAAAATAAGAGTTGTTCCTTATAGATAACGTCTCAAAAATCACGATGAACGCATCGGCAAACTCTGAAATGCATTCCTAACTGCACAATCGGTGTAAGAAATTAGCGTTTTTTAAAGCTTCCCGATTCAAAATTGATACTACGGCGCAGGTGAACATTTCGTTGAAGAAGTCGGTCCATTCAATCCCTGCTCAACATGGCCGACGTGTCCACGCGCAAGTTGAGGAGAGCACGAGGTCAATCAAGGCGGATATCTATCAACGCGAGAAAAATGTGAATGTAAACTTGTCTCTGATGTGAACACGCCGATTGTCATCAGTTGGTTAGAATCAGAGACAAGAGACCCTCCACTAGTATCTTGGCCATGGTGGAAGCTTTTACTTTCGGGACTTCAGCATTCTACTGTTGACTTACGTACATGGTTGATGTTCAACAACGTGTTGGCAGTTTCGTTTTGCAAACAAGCCGAAAATGGCCGACGTTTGGGAAAGTTATTTGGCTCATGACGTCATCCGAAGCTCATCATCGACCATGTAGGTAAGTCAACAGCCGAAACTAGGGTGATGACTGTTGCTCCCTAATAATTGTCCATAAGGAATTGTTGAAACCCCGAAAGTAAAAGCTTCCACCTGTCGCTAGGAGGCCAGTGGAGGGTCTCTTGTCTCTGGTTAGGATCATCGTCCCGTCTTGCCGCAATCACACGCTGAATGTGGGCGCTGAATGTGGAAGTCATCGGCCCGATGCCTGAATTCTGCGCGTGACGCGCAAAATTCAGCAACGATTCTCAGCGACCATCGGATAATGTCGAATTTGTCTGAACTATTCGAATAGGTTTGATACACATTTGGATGAAAATAACTCGAATGAGTGGAATTTCAGCTGTTGAGCGCTGACTGTTGACTGCCAAATTCAGCTGCAAAATTCAGTGTGTGATTGTGGCATCACATGTGTTTAGGCGGATTGGCGTCGGCTATGTTGAATATTGCGTGGTATCCTTGTGAGCAGGGTTTGGATGGAATGACTCCTCTGACGAAATGTCAACCTGTACCGTGGTACCTATCGTTCTTGAAGCGGAAAGCTCGAAAAAACCCAAATTTCTTCTGCAAACTGTGAAGTAAGGCGTGCATTTCATTCTTTGCCGATGCGCTCATCGTGATTTTTGAGACACTCTCTATGAGCAACAACTCTTATTTTTGCTCTAGCAAAAATTTGCAACGGGCCCATTGTAAGAGGTGCTCAAAGAAGAAAATTTCACGAGAAAAACCAATGGAACCACTTTTAAAATCTCAAAATATTGTTTAAACGGAGTTATAAGCGTTTAGAGTTTCCATATTTTGTCCAACTTTACCTATTGACTCGATCCACCGTGCGACGGAACGTAATTATGGGGTATGAGATATGATAGATGCTCCGCAGTCCGTGACAATATATACAGTAAAAAACAATTTAAAAAGCGGGTAACAAGGCTAAAGGTTCGCAAACAAGACCAAAACGTTTCGGCTGAAAATTCAGCCATCCTTAGTTGGATAAATAAAAATAAAAATGGTGAAAAATCTAAAGTTGTACCTGACTCTACCTTTCAAATCGAGAATGTTGTTATGACAGAAATTTTGATAACACAGTCAACAAAAAACACCGCAAACGGGCATCGGTGAAACCAATCCAGCGCTTAAAGTTTCAGCCGATAGATAGCGACACTAACCAGGTGTGTGCGGCGTATGCCGTGTACCCGGGTGAATAGTACAAAAAAATTCAAATAGGCCGCGCTAATCCTGGTTTCGGAAGAACTGGTGGTAGAGAGCACATGTGAGTCCACCAGAGACAAGAGACCCTCCGCTGGCCTCCTAGCGACAGGTGGAAGCTTTTACTTTCGGGGTTTCAACAATTCCTTATGGACAATTATGAGCGATCAACAGTCATCACCCTATTTTCGGCTGTTGACTTACCTACATGGTCGATGATGAGCTTCGGATGACGTCATAAGCCAAACAACTTTCCCCAGCGTCGGCCATTTTCGGCTTGTTTGCAAAACGAAACTGCCAACACGTTGTTGAACATCAACCATGTAGGTAAGTCAACAGTAGAATGCTGAAGTCCCGAAAGTAAAAGCTTCCACCATGGCCAAGTTACTAGTGGAGGGTTTCTTGTCTCTGGAGTCCACTCACGTTGTATTCATTGAAAAAGTTTGTCAAGGCCGAGAGAGTAAATGCGAGGATGTAAATAGCGCACTGATAGTCTAAACGAATAATTTTAACATCACGATTGTATTGTGTTTAATATTCAATGAAATTCACCGCACAAGACCGTCGCTCGACGACTCGTATAAAGAAAGAGAACTTATCACATTATTTAATATTTTTGAAAGAGAATGTTCCTTTTTAACTCCTCTGTATCACTCTTTCTTCGCAATGATAAAAAAGGGCAAGAAGGTAAAAGAGAGAGAGAGAGAGAGAGAGAGAGAAATTAGAGACCTTGTAGCCCCCCTCCTTCTCTCACCTCTTTATCTGAAGAAAATTGTAAAAAGCAGGTCCACTAGGTAGCGATGATGTCACCGGGTGAATATAATGATAAGAAAAATGTAAACGAGCTGTTGAATATTAGAGATGTAATGGTGCGAGGCTACCATTCAACTTTCACGATAGCCGTATTTTGTCATGACTATCTTGAAGAGGAAACGCAAATAAAAAGCCTCTGCTAATTCAAAATAGAGGCCGTTTTTAATTAGCAAAAGACGAGCGGCCCTTTTATATTTTATTAATTGCTGGCAGAACCTGTAGGTACCGTAGATATTTCACCGCAGAATTCGGGATGAGAACGCTTACAATGATTTTTTCAAACAATTACAAGGTAAAACATATGGTTATAAATGTTTAATCGAGTATAATTTAAAAACAGCACGGCTCCATACAAGAAATTTACAGAAAATGTGTGTAAACTCATCACAGCCTTTGATTGAGCCGGGAATTTTAATAGTAATAAATCAATTAAGATATGTACTTATCATACCTTGACATAGGTAATCCTCTTTTTGATTTCATTATTCTGAGAAAAGAACGATTATCAATAATGACAACTTCATTGTAAGCTGTCTTTTTCCAAATAGATTAAATGCCGCTCAACATCTGAGTAATCTAAAAGAGGAGTTTAAGCAAAAGTGTGCTTCCTAAAGCACTTCACTGAAATATATGTTGTTTATCAAAACTTTCTTTGAAAGATTAATCCGTTTTGTTTGATGACTTCTATGTATTTTCAATAAATGTTCAGTTTCTGTGGTTTTTTTCCTAAAAATTTTAACAGAAAAGCAAAAATATCAAAATTCCCTGATGAAGAATGCAGACTAACAAGACCTAAATCCCGGAAAAATTCTCAAAATATTAAATTATTGTTTAACTCAAGTACAATTAATCATCAAATGTAGCAAATAAAACTTAGAACGTCTGAACTCAATAGCCAGTTTGAATTTTTTTTCAGTCATCAAGTCAGTTCAGTGTGACACTCTTTGAAGTGCATACTTCCCTGAAGAAAGAAAATAGTAATTGGGACGGACATACTGAGTAACCATGAGCTGTAGATGTTTTATTTGTTATTTTTGTCTTTATAAAGTTGCCGATTAAATCTAGTGAATTTGATAAAAGTCACTGCGGAAGAGGATATTCAACAGTATCGAATTCATTATGACTCGAACTATAATAAGTGATCGTCACACTGAAATTTTTTTCGATATTTATGCCCATGTAAATTTTACCTCTCAGCCCGTACGCTTCTAATTTTTTCGGAAAATTTCTAGTGTATCGCTTCTCATACAATTCCTTCAAAGCAAATGTAGAAATATTATGCATTTTAAAGTTGGCCAAAATCCCAACCATATCATCCCTAACTACAGCCAGTTCGGGCATACCGTAGGTTAGAGGTGTGCCCCAGAAAACATCACGACGAGACCAAATACTGTTGGATTGCTTGGGCACATCCTTTAAGTAGGCGATTTCTCTACCGAGAATGTGTGTCAAGTTTTTATGTCCCGAATATCTTAACCAAGCATACAACAAACCTCCAAAATTTAGCCTTTTATCAGGCTCCGTGTTCGAACCAGCGCTTGCATAAATTTTATGAATTTTGGTCGCCAGTTTGAAAACTGAAAATTCAGGATCCTCTACCGTTAAAGTCATGAAGGCATCCACATATTCCTTCATAACATCCTCTGATAAATTATGAGTATTCATATAATAGCTGGAGTTCTGAACTAGAGCTTGTCCCAGTGCGAAAGCCGTCTCCCCATTGGCTACCTGGAGCGTTTCAGAGGTGTAGCTTCTGGCTAGATAGCCTGCGTTCTCTAAGTACCAAAGGAAACTTTTCACCGCGACTTTTTCTGATGATTCGTCAATACGGGACGGAGAATCTCTCATCTTTTTCAAAGTATTAAAATAAACTTTATCCTCTTGGTCTCCTGTAGGGGCGTGAACCCTACCTCCAATAATAAGCTGTTCGATTATAGATCCCATACTCGGTCGAGATATTATTCTCGCGTAATCGTTCTGTAAAGGATCGATGTGTGACAGCCAGTAGTGATCAAATCTGCGAGACCCTAGGTAAGAAACTATAGAACCTGTGTTGAAAATTTGCAAAGTCGAATTTTTAACATTATAACCACCGTAGAACTCCTCGAGGTCGCTTATTCTGTCGAGCGGCTCGCTAAACTTAACCAATAAATCTTCCACTTCTTGGTGCGTCAAACCTAAGTATTTGGAAAACTTTTCGCTTGAACAAAAAGGTCGCCAAACCTCATTATCCGGAGTCAAAGTTCCCGGTAAATACATGGAGCCTAAAAGCAAACTTTTTTTAATTCCTATAAATTTGTGATTTCCTAACACCCTGTTGAGAAATCCACCTACGATCATCAGAATAATATCTATTACATCCTTCCTAGCATCCACTTTTAGCAAAGAGGAAATGATGGTGTCTACATCATCAACGAGAACGATCATTTGAGTTCCGTTCGCTTTTGAGTTGAGCTGTTTTAGGTCGGTTGGTAGATTCACTAAATATTCCGTGTAGTTAACTTTACACTCAGCGGTGAATTTAGCTATCGAGTCTTTTTTCTCATCTGCGGTTTTTCCTCTGTTATCAGGATCTGTATCGTACCTAGCCTTGCCGTAAATCTCACACAGGATTCTCTGGGTTGAAGCTAAATTATTTGCCTCTCGTAGGAGTCCGAAATCGAGGAAGAGAACTACATGCTCACGAAAATGTGCGTGAAAAAAGTCTGATTCTTGCTCGAAAATTTTCGTTCCGTAAAAATGCGATTTTTGCGAGTCACCATGCCCCCCTTGATTTTTGTCAAAAAAATGTTGCATCATGCTCAGGAGCGTGGTCTTCCCAAAGCGAGTCGGTGCTGTGATGTAATGTTGTCGGACGGGGTCGTCCCAGAAATCCTTCAGCCATAGCGTCTTGTCCACGAAGGTTTTTTCTCGTCGCACGTTCTGGAAATCGCTGGAGCCGATCGAATCACCACATTTGCCGCTGAAACCCTGAAAATGAGGAAGTAAAGTCCGTTATGACCTGCAAATATTTAACGGTATGAGCACAAGAGGGTCTTTCAGAGAGGAAGTCTTCTCTCTAACTTTAATATTGTTGGTTTTTGTTCATTAAGTTTCGGGGGAAAGTTTGAGCATATCTATACGAAGCTTAAAATTTCAGCTTTTTAACTAACGGGACTTTGAGAATTACGAGGAATTAAAATAGAAACCTTCTCTCTGGCGCTCATTCTGCGCCAATTCAATCCGTTACCCTTCCTCATGTAGAGATACCCTTCCTGGCCCTTCCGCTTTTTGTCAACCATTACCAGTTATGAATAAAGGGAAAAAATTAGTTGTATTTTGTGTGGTTTTTAATTTTTTTTTTTTTTCATCAGAGTAAATGACAAATGGTCCATTCAGAGTGTAATTGGGCTAAAAACTTTAAAATCACAAGTTGCAAAATGCTGCGCGAGTTTGAATGGTCGCGCTAAGCACTGCGATCGGCGGAGAACGCATGTTAGCGCCTGCAAGACTCCACGAATACTTCAGGCATTGCGCGTACTCCACCGTGCGGTGCGCGCGCCGTTGGCGCCTACAAACCTAAGTGGATACTTCAAGCATTGTGCAATGCGTGAAGTATCTACTTAGGTTTGTAGGCGCCAGTGAGCCTCCCGCGCTGGCAGCACGCCGCTCCGCTCTGTTAGGCTTTAATATATTTATACTCCCATAATCAGCGTTTTTCAACTCATGATTTAGAAATGTTTGCACACTCTGCATTGATTATTCTCATTTAAATTGATGGGGAAAAATATGTATCAATTTATCAAAGGAGAAAAATAACATAATGTGTGTTTTTTAAAACGTAAACTACTGGGAAAAAAAGGTGCGCGGACAAAAAATCGTTGACAAAATGTCCTGAAACCGTACCTGCAGATGATTCTTTCTTCGGGTGTAACATTGATAAATCCCGAAAGAATTTGGCAACGTCAACGGTGTCCGATATTTTAAAAAGACGTCGTTTCAAAAAGATATCTAGGTTATTATTTGAATGATCTTCGGTTTGCGAACAATCCTCTCACTACAGGTTATTTAAAGTAAGTTCTGTGTTGTTCTCATGCTGAGGAGGCAGTGGTAGTTTTGCAAGTTCGCAACACTGTTTTTCCTCCAATTAAATGTATGTAAAACAATCGATTCTTGATGAGTCAGCTTGCCTCGCCTAAAATCGACATTTTTAAGGGATTTAATGATGTTTGTAGACTTCATTTTAACAGCCGGCCTTTTTTACGGATAAATAAAAATGTACCAATTATATTATTTTATATCGTAGACGCAGACTGCGGCAATCAAAACTGTCGACGATCAAGGAATGTTAAAATATAGAGTAAGCGACTATTGAATATATATTTTGATGGTGAGACTCTGAAATCATGTATTCGGGCTCGTTACATTACAAAATTCCCGTCTTATTTTATTTGTTTGACCCATTAATGTATTATCATTATTGCTCAAAATTTCAGGGGATTTTATATCTAATATCAAAAATATCCACCCAAAATTTCGTAAAAAAATATTCTTTGACCCTTTCGTAGAAAAGGAAAATAGATGTGAGTATTTTGAGTTACCACAATCTAAATTTTTTTTTTTTTTTTTTTTTTGGTAATTTCACCGTCAGTACGATCTGTAATAAAAGGATTATAATACTAACTGCCTCCGAGAAACCGAGTGTGACTTTTCCTTGCCCCTTTGCCACAAAAACAACGCATTGCCTCTCAGCGATTTCGAAACAGCGCTCAATCGTCGTTGTTGTAAGCGCAATTGAAAATCAGAGTGCCTTCAATTTTTTGCGTCTGCAACCACCCGTCGAACATTGCATCCAAGCGTCAAGCAAGTGTCGCGACAAATATGCAAGGTGTTTATAGTTAAAGCCTTCTTTAATGTATGAATCAATTTCAACTAAATTAAAGATAGATAATATGACGATTTGTCCGTCTCACAGCTCAAAACAATTTATAAAGACTTGGGTTGAAACTTTATTGGAGAGGAGTGGCATACAATCAACTTCAAATTGAAGTTTTTCTTCGATTGAAAAGACAATTTCAAATGCACAAATTGGTGGCATTAAGAAACGCGAATCTCAAAAATGTATCTCCATTCCGCACTCAAAAGTATTAAAATTTGAGTCACAATATGTGAGTATGAATCATTTTTCATCACTGTAATTGAAATTTAAGATATCACTGCAAACTTCGTACTGTGTGTGCTACCTACTGAATTGATGAGCGCAGTGTATACATGACTCAATAACTACTACTCATGACTCATGAAATATTTTGCTAATTTCAAAAGAGAGAGAGGAGGGAGTGTTTTACGTTAAGTTTCAAAATTACATTGAGCCTCATACACTGGGGAGACACTTTAAACTTATTTTGAGAGACTAATAATTATAGATTTCGAACCTTAACTTATCATAGTAATACTTCAAGACTCGTTTTCCTGTATTCAAAATTTTTGTTGAACTAATAAAAAACATTAGCTGTCGAATTTCCCCCAAAAGTACCACGTAATGTGTTCGAGTGCCAGAACTCTATGATGTACCGAGGAGCAGATATTCGTAAAAGAATAATAACATAAACTATATTTTTATCATACAATTTAATACATATACTTTTCTGTTCCCATACATTGTATAATATTTTTCAAGTATAACGTACAACAAAACTTAACAAAAATATTCAAGGAACATTAACGAGCACAGCCTATAGAATTTTAGTACCGAATATTATGAATATAGGATCACATATGGACACACAATAATCGAAAATTACCCTTGTAAAGTCGATTTTAGTGATATATTGTAGACAAAATCGACAGCTTATCCTGTATAGTTTGAAAGTTTATATGATATCAAAATGACATCACATTAATCCAAGCTGCTTTAAATGAACTTCATAAATCATATGTAATTGATTACACACTGACGTCCTTTTAGGGACGTCCTGAATTTGTCTCATCTTGATAATTGAATGTTATGAAATTTCTTTGTGTTCATGTAGAGATAAAAGTACTGTACCATTGAGATTGACATTAAAACCTCATAAAATCTCTTTCGGAAATCAAAACTTATATTTCTATACGAGACGAATTATCTTTGTCTTCCAAGGATTCTATTTGATTTCAACAGGATCTTTTCGGCCGTGCTTCGGAAGAACGCCGTATAAGCCTTCAGAAGTTGCCGAATTGCTTTGATAAAATGTGATTGTGTTAGGAAAATCTGTGAATATTTTCTTCAAATTTTTCAGAAAGTTTTTTTCGTTATCAGATCTAGATTATCTGAAAATTTTAAGAGAATATATTCACAAAAAAATGAGCATTTTAAAGGATACATTTTAGCAACTCTCGAATGTTCTTACAGCGTTTTCCTCAGCGCGGCAGAACAAGTGTCTCAAAGAGACTTCCAAGGTGGAAATTATTCATTTAACATCCAATAAACGCATATTTTTCTCCGTTAATCATGAACCGAAATGGTACCGTATAATACTCGGTTTCACCAGAGGATCACCTACACTTTGATCTCGAGCGGGTTCTCAGAGTTCTCCGCATCAACCAAATACGAGAAGCACATCCCATCTGATCCTAAGAACTCGACACCCACGATGACGGTATGCGGTACCGGACGGCCGAAGTGGCCATAGTGGAGCGAGGTACCATTGAGCTTTTTAATGAACGCAAGTTGCGAGAACGCGATCTCATGGCCCCAGGAGCGAAAGGCTTTGATGGCGAAGAAGACGCCATCCGCCCGCTGGAAGAGGAGGTCAACGGTGTCGTGCGCCTCTTCTGCGATGCCACCGCAGTGGAAGAGGTACCGGACTTCCGGGAAGCTCTCGGGCCGCAGCTTGACGAAAGTGAAGAGCGGGGCGGCATACTCGTACTCTATCGTGGTATTGACCGCCTCGAGCAAAGCTCTCGTCGAAGACGCGAGGGCTTTGGCGCTGGAGTTCAGGTTTTTGTCCACTTCGAAGGTCTCCAGGGACTTTATGAAGGCGTTCGCCTTTAATACTACCTCATCTCGTAGTCTGGAAGCCGATTTGGCGGCGGTTTTTGGCCCCATCTGTGAACAAAGGAATGATCCCTCGATCAGTAAATATCGTCCGGAATTTCATTATCATAGTGGGCCACTAAACCATGAACGAATCTAGACCTGCGCATACATTTTTCTAAAGGTAAATAACGCATATAATACGATAGATACATACATACGCACATAAGAGTCGCTCTCACAGCGCTCTCTGGCGCTCTGCGACGCCTAACCGCCACAAAACTCGGTCCTCCCACAAGACACCAGGGAGCTGGCACTCCCTCATCTCATCCAAAACCCCCGGTCGCCACCCTTTCACTTTGAGCAACCCCTTCGCCTCCTCCCAGGGGGAACCCAATCAAGTATCTATTTTGAACGCCTCTCTTCCGTCATCCTGTTGACATGACCGCGTGCCAGACAAGCTGTTTGGTCATGACGTCGAACACGATGTCATTTTCGACTTCCATTATCTGACGCACTCTATCATTATGGACCCGATCACTCCGAGAAATTCCTGCTGACCTCCTCCAGGAATCCATCTCCGTTGTTCTTAACACGATAGATATATCGCACATTAAAAACGCTAAGAACTCAGGAACCAAGAAAAACGAAGTTTAAATAGCGCTTTTCCGCAAATATGAAACGCCACGATTTCGCGCGCCGAACCGAATGATGTCATCCGGCACCAATCAGAAGCAAGCACGGGTTTCCGCGGCCTCCGTCAAATGTCTCTCTACTTTACTCCTCGTAAATGAAAAAATAGGACAAAATATATACTTTCAGAAACAATGAATCGAATCTCATTTATGTTGTCGGTGTTAACAAGCAAGAAATTTACATTAAAATACGTTTTATTTTAACAAAAATCAGTGAAAAATAGGAAGGAAATAGCGATTTAATTGCCGTTGTAAATCACTTCCATCATTTTCCCTCCATTTCAGCGATTTTGAAATGCACACGAGACTTTGGACTCTTTAAAAGCGGGCTTGTGCGGGGGTTCAGCTTAAAAAATAAGCATTAAAGCGCAATCTACTCACCTGGCACTTCCAGAATATTGAATCAGGGTATGTAACCCTTTGTCATTATCAGCAGTGAGTTCATTTTACGTTCCCATCTAAACGGTAAGTTTTTCTCCGTATGTCGTCAACCATAATAGCACCATAATGATCGGCTCTACCAAGAGGTACCCCACACCTCAACGGTGAGCGGGTTCTTAGGGTCCTCCGTATCAACCAAATACGAGAACCTCATCCCATCGGGCGTCAGGAACTCCACACCCACGACAACAGTATGCGTCAGCGGGCGACTGAACTGGTCGTACAAGAGCACGGTATCGTTATAATCGTTGATGCAGGCGAGTTGATACAGCCCTATTTCATGACCTCGCGACTGAACTGGTCGTAGAAGAGCAAGGTATCATTGTGTATGATCGGTGATGCAGGCGAGTTGATACAGCCCTATTGCATGACCTCGCGACTAAACTGGTCGTAGAAGAGAACGGAATCATTAGGTATAATCGGCGATGCAGGCGAGTTGATACAGCCCTATTTCACGACCTCGCGACTAAACTGGTCGTACAAGAGCACGGTATCATTATAGTCGGTGATGCAAGCGAGTTGATACAGCCCTATTTAATGACCTCGCGATTGAACTGGTCGTGGAAGAGCACGGTATCATTATAATTGGTGATGCAGGCGAGTTGATAAAGCCCTATTTCATGACCTCGCGACTGAACTGGTCGTAGAAGAGCGTGGTATTATTATAATCGGTGATGCAGGCAAGTTGATACAACCCTATTTCATGACCTCGCGACTGAACTGGACGTAGAAGAGCACGGTATCATTATAATCGGTAATGCAGGCGAGTTGATACAGCCCTATTTCATGACCACGCAACTGAACTGGTCGTAGAAGAGCACGGTATCATTATAATCGGTGATGCAGGCGAGTTATTATAGCCCTATTTCAAGCTATCGCGATTGAACTGGTCGTAGAAGAGCACGGTTACATTATAATCGGTGATGCAGGCGAGTTAATAAAGCCCTATTTCATGACCTCGCGACTGAACTGGTCGTAGAAGAGCACGGTGTCATTATAATCGGTGATGCAGGCGAGTTGATACAGCCCTATTTCATGACCTCGGGACTAAACTGGTCGTAGAAGAGCACGGTATCATTATAATCGTTGATGCAGGCGAGTCGATACAGCCCTATTCAGTAGCTTGCGACTGAACTGGTCGTGGAAGAGCACGGTATCATTATAATCGGTGATGCAGGCGAGTTGATACAGCCCTATTTCATGACCTCGCGATTGAACTGCTTCTTGAAGAGCACGGTATCATAATAATCGGTGATGCAGGAGAGTTGATACATCCGTATATTATGACTTTGCGACTGAACTGGTCGTAGAAGAGCACGGTATCATTAAAATTGGTAATGCAGCCGATTTGATACAGCCCTTTTTCATGACCTCGCGACTGAACTTGTCGTAGAAGAGCACGGTATCATTAGTTATAATCGGTGATGCAGGCGAAATGATACAGTCCTATTTCATGACCCCGTGACTGAACTTGTCGTTGAAGAGCACGGTATCATTATTATCGGTGATGCAGGCGAATTTATACAGCCCTATTTCATGACCTCGTGACTTAATTGGTCGTAGAAAAGCACGGTATCATTATAATCGGTGATGCAGGCGACTTGATATAGCCCTATTTCTTGACCTTGCGACACAACTGGTCGTTGAAGAGCACGGTATCATTAAGTATAATCGGTGATGCAGGCGAGTTGGTACAGCCATCTGTCATGACCTAGCGACTGAACCGGTCGTAGAAGAGCACGGTATCATTATAATCGGTGATGTAGGCGAGTTGATACAGCTCTATTTCATGACCTCGCGACTAAACTGGTCGTAGAAGAGCACGGTATCATTAAAACCGGTGATGAACGCGAGTTGATACAGCCCTATTTCTTGACCTTGCGGCTGAACCGGTCGTAGAAAAGCACGGTATCATTATAATCGGTGATGCAGGCGAGTGGATACAGCCCTATTTCATGACCTCCTGACTGAACTGGTCGTAGAAGAGCAGGGTATCATTCGGTATAATCGGTGATGCAGGCGAGTTATTACACCCCTGTTTCATGACTTCGCAACTGAACAGGTCGAAAAAGAGCACGGTATCATTAGGTATAATCGGTGATGCAGGCGAGTTGATACAGCCGAATTTCATGACCTCGCGACTGAACTGGTCGTAGAAGAGCACGGTTTTATTATAATCGTTGATGCAGGCGAGTTATTACAGCGCTATATCATGACCTTGCGACTGAACTGGTCGTAGAAGAGCACGGTTTCATTATAATGGGTGATGCAGGCTAGTTGATACATCCCTATTTCATGACCTCGCGACTGAACTGGTCGTAGAAGAGCACGGTATCACTATAATTGGCGATGCAGGCGAGATGATACAGCCCTCTTTCATGACCTCTTGACTGAACTGGTCGTAGAACAGCACGGTATCAATATAATCGGTGATGCAGGCGAATTATTACAGCCCCATTTCATGACCTCGCGACTGAAGTGGTCGTAGAAGAGCACGGTATCATTATAATCGGTGATGCAGTCGAATTATTACAGCCCCATTTCATGACCTAGTGACTGAACCTGTCGTAGAAGAGCTTGGTATCATTCGGTATGATCGGTGATGAAGGCGAGTTGATACAGCCCAATTTCATGACCTCGCGACTGATTTGGTTTTAGAAGAGCACGGTATCATTAAAATCGTTGATGCAGGCGAGTAATTACAGCCCAATTTCATGACCGCGCGACTGAACTGGTCGTAAAAGAGCACGGTATCATTACAATCGGTGATGCCGGCGAAATGATACACACCTATTACATGACCGCGCGACTGAAGTGGTCGTGGAAAAGCACGGTATCATTACAATCGGTATGGCGGGCGAGTTGATACAGCCCTGTGTCATGACCTCGCGACTGATTTCTTGTAGAAGAGCACGGTATCATTATAAAATTTTAGCGACTCTCGAATGCTCTTACGGTTTTTTCCTCAGCACGTCAGATTAGTGTTCCAAAGAGACTTCCAAGGTGGAAATTATTCATTTAAAACCCCATAAACGCATCATTTTTCTCCGTTAATCATGAACCGAAATGGTACCGTATAATACTCGGTTCCACCAGAGGATCACCTACACTTTGATCTCGAGCGGGTTCTCAGAGTTCTCCGCATCAACCAAATACGAGAAGCACATCCCATCTGATCCTAAGAACTCGACACCCACGATGACGGTATGCGGTACCGGACGGCCGAAGTGGCCATAGTGGAGCGAGGTACCATTGAGCTTTTTAATGAACGCAAGTTGCGAGAACGCGATCTCATGGCCCCAGGAGCGAAAGGCTTTGATGGCGAAGAAGACGCCATCCGCCCGCTGGAAGAGGAGGTCAACGGTGTCGTGCGCCTCTTCGGCGATGCCACCGCAGTGGAAGAGGTACCGGACTTCCGGGAAGCTCTCGGGCCGCAGCTTGACGAAAGTGAAGAGCGGTGCGGCATACTCGTACTCTATCGTGGTATTGACCGCCTCGAGCAAAGCTCTCGTCGAAGACGCGAGGGCTTTGGCGCTGGAGTTCAGGTTTTTGTCCACTTCGAAGGTCTCCAGGGAGTTTATGAAGGCCTTCGCCTTTGATACGACCTCGTCTCGTAGTCTGGGCGCCGATTTGGCGGCGGTTTTTGGCCCCATCTGTGAACAAAGGAATGACCCCTCGATCAGTAAATATCGCCCGGAACTTCATTTTCATAGTGGGCCACTAAACCATGAACGAATCTAGACCTGCGCATACATTTTTCTAAAGGTAAATAACGCATATAATACGATAGATACGTACATACGCACATAAGAGTCGCTCTCACAGCGCTCTCTGGCGCTCTGCGACGCCTAACCGCCACAAAACTCGGTCCTCTCGCAAGACACCAGGGAGCTGGCACTCCCTCATCTCATCCAAAACCCCCGGTCGCCACCCTTTCACTATGAGCAACCCCTTCGCCTCCTCCCAGGGGGAACCCAATCAAGTATCTTTTTTGAACGCCTCTCTTCCGTCATCCTGTTGACATGACCGCGTACCAGACAAGCTGTTTGGTCATGACGTCGAACACGATGTCATTTTCGACTTCCATTATCTGACGCACTCTATCATTATGGACCCGATCACTCCGAGAAATTCCTGCTGACCTCCTCCAGGAATCCATCTCCGTTGCTCTNGTTGAAACAGCCCTATTTCATGACCTTGCGACTGAACTTGACGTTGAAGAGCACGGTATCATTATTATCGGTGATGCAGGCGAATTGATACAGCCCTATTTCATGACCTCGCGACTGAACTGGTCGTAGAAAAGCACGGTATCATTATAATCGGTGATGCAAGCGAGTTGATATAGCCCTATTTCTTGACCTCGCGACTGAACTGGTCGTTGAAGAGCACGGTATCATTAGGTATAATCGGTGATGCAGGCGAGTTGGTACAGCCATCTGTCATGACCTCGCGACTGAACTGGCGGTAGACGAGCACGGTATCATTAAAATCGGTGATGCAGGCGAGTTGATACAGCCCTATTTCATGACCTCGCGACTGAACTGGTCGTAAAAGAGCACGGTATCATTATAATAGGTGATGTAGGCGAGTTGATATAGCCCTATTTCATGACCTCGCGACTGTCCTGGTTGTAGAGGAGCAAGGTATCATTATAATCGGTAATGCAGGTGAGTTGATACAGCCCTATTTGAGGTAATCGCCACTTAACTGGTCGTAGAAGAGCACGGTATCATTCGGTTTAATCGGTGATGCAGGCGAGTTATTACAGAACAATTTCATTTCCTCGCAACTTAACACGTCGTAAAAGAGCACGGTATTATTAAAATCGTTGATGTAGGCGAGTTATTACAGCCTAATTTCATGACCGCGCGACTGAACTGGTCGTAGAAGAGCACGGTATCATTACAATCGGTGATGCAGTCGAGTTGGTACACACCTATTACATGACCGCGCGACTGAACTGGTCGTGGAAGAGCACGGTATCATTACAACCGGTGATGAACGCGAGTTGATACAGCCCTGTTTCATGACCTTGCGACTGAACCGGACGTACAAGAGCACGGTATCATTCGATATAATCAGTGATAAAGGCGAGTTGATACAGCCCTATTTCATGACCTCGCGACTGAACTGGTCGTAGAAGAGCACGGTATCACTAGGTAAAATCGGTGATGCACGCGAGTTGATACAGCCCTATTTCATGACCTCGCAACTGAACAGGTCGAAAGAGAGCACGGTATCATTAGGTATAATCGGTGATGCAGGCGAGTGGATACAGCCCTATTTCATGACCTCTTGACTGAACTGGTCGTAGGAGGGCAGGGTATCATTCGGTATAATCGGTGATGCAGGCGAGTTATTACACCCCCATTTCATGACCTCGCAACTGAACAGGTCGAAAGAGAGCACGGTATCATTGGGTATAATCGTTGATGCAGGCGAGTTGATACAGCCGAATTTCATGACCTTGCGACTGAACTGGTCGTGGAAGAGCACGGTTTCATTATAATGGGTGATAAAGGCGAGTTGATACATCCCTTTTTCATGACCTCGCGACTGAACTCGTCGTAGAAGAGCACGGTTTCGCTATAATTGGCGATTCAGGCGAGATGATACAGCCCTTTTTCATGACCTCGCGACTGAACTGGTCTTAGAACAGCACGGTATCATTATAATCGGTGATGCAGGCGAATTATTACAGCCCTTTTTCATGACCTCGCGACTAAACTGGTCGTTGACGAGCACGGTATCATTATAATCGGTGACGCAGGCTAATTATTACAGCCCCATTTCATGACGTAGCGACTGAACTTGTCGTAGAAGAGCTTGGTATCATTCGGTATAATCGGTGATGAAGCCGAGTTATTACAGCCCCATTTCATGACCGCGCGACTGAACTGGTCGTAGAAGAGCACGGTATCATTATAATCGGCAATGCAGGCGAGTTGGTACAGCCCTTTGTCATGACCTCGCGACTAAACTGGTCGTAGAAGATCACGGTATCATTTTAATCGGTGATGTAGGCGAGTTGATACAGCCCTATTTCATGACCTCGCGACTGATCTGGTCGTAGAAGAGCACGGTATCATTATTATCGGTGATGCAGGCGAGTTGATACAGCCCTATTTCATGACCTCGCGACTGAATTGGTCGTAGATAAGCACGGTATCATTATAATCTATGATGCAGGCGAGTTGATATAGAACTATTTCTTGACCTCGCGACTGAACTGGTCGTAGCAGAGCACGGTATCATTAGGTATAATCGGTTATGCAGGCGAGTTGGTACAGCCCTCTGTCATGACCTCGCGACTGAACTGGTCGTAGACGAGCACGGTATCATTAAAATCGGTGATGCAGGCGAGTTGATACAGCCCTATTTCATGACCTCGCGACTGTCCTGGTCGTACATGAGCAAGGTATCATTATAATCGATAATGCAGGTGAGTTGATACAGCCCTATTTCATGTAATCGCCACTGAACTGGTCGTAGAAGAGCACGGTATCATTCGGTATAATCGGTGATGCAGGCGAGTTATTACAGCATTATTTCATGTCCTCGCAACTGAACACGTCGTAAAAGAGCTCGGTATTATTAAAATCGTTGATGCAGGCGAGTTATTGAAGCCCAATTTAATGACTGCGCGACTGAACTGGTCGTAGAAGAGCACGGTATCATTATAATCGGCAATGCAGGCGAGTCGGTACAGCCCATTGTCATGACCTCGCGACTGAACTGGTCGTATAAGAGCACGGTATCATTATAACCGGTGATGCAGGCGAGTTGATGCACACCTATTTCATGACCGCGCGACTGAACTGCTCGTAGAAGAGCACGGTATCATTATAATCGGTGATGCAGTCGAGTTGATACAGGCCTATTTCATGACCTCGCAATTGCACTGGTCCTATAAGAGCACGGTATCATTACAATCGGAGATGCAGGCGAGTTGATACACACCTATTACATGACCGCGCGACTGAACTGGTCGTCGAAAAGCACGGTATCATTACAATCGGTATGGCAGGCGAGTTGATACAGCCCTGTTTCATGACCTCGCGACTGATTTGGTTGTAGAAGAGCACGGTATCATTATAAAATTTTAGCGACTCTCGAATGCTCTTAAGGTGTTTTTCTCAGCACGGCAGATTAGTGTCCCAAAGAGACTTCCAAGGTGGAAATTATTCATTTAACATCCAATAAACGCATATTTTTCTCCGTTAATCATGAACCGAAATGGTACCGTATAATACTCGGTTTCACCAGAGGATCACCTACACTTTGATCTCGAGCGGGTTCTCAGAGTTCTCCGCATCAACCAAATACGAGAAGCACATCCCATCTGATCCTAAGAACTCGACACCCACGATGACGGTATGCGGTACCGGACGGCCGAAGTGGCCATAGTGGAGCGAGGTACCATTGAGCTTTTTAATGAACGCAAGTTGCGAGAACGCGATCTCATGGCCCCAGGAGCGAAAGGCTTTGATGGCGAAGAAGACGCCATCCGCCCGCTGGAAGAGGAGGTCAACGGTGTCGTGCGCCTCTTCGGCGATGCCACCGCAGTGGAAGAGGTACCGGACTTCCGGGAAGCTCTCGGGCCGCAGCTTGACGAAAGTGAAGAGCGGTGCGGCATACTCGTACTCTATCGTGGTATTGACCGCCTCGAGCAAAGCTCTCGTCGAAGACGCGAGGGCTTTGGCGCTGGAGTTCAGGTTTTTGTCCACTTCGAAGGTCTCCAGGGAGTTTATGAAGGCCTTCGCCTTTGATACGACCTCGTCTCGTAGTCTGGGCGCCGATTTGGCGGCGGTTTTTGGCCCCATCTGTGAACAAAGGAATGACCCCTCGATCAGTAAATATCGCCCGGAACTTCATTTTCATAGTGGGCCACTAAACCATGAACGAATCTAGACCTGCGCATACATTTTTCTAAAGGTAAATAACGCATATAATACGATAGATACGTACATACGCACATAAGAGTCGCTCTCACAGCGCTCTCTGGCGCTCTGCGACGCCTAACCGCCACAAAACTCGGTCCTCTCGCAAGACACCAGGGAGCTGGCACTCCCTCATCTCATCCAAAACCCCCGGTCGCCACCCTTTCACTATGAGCAACCCCTTCGCCTCCTCCCAGGGGGAACCCAATCAAGTATCTTTTTTGAACGCCTCTCTTCCGTCATCCTGTTGACATGACCGCGTACCAGACAAGCTGTTTGGTCATGACGTCGAACACGATGTCATTTTCGACTTCCATTATCTGACGCACTCTATCATTATGGACCCGATCACTCCGAGAAATTCCTGCTGACCTCCTCCAGGAATCCATCTCCGTTGCTCTTAACACAATAGGTATACGCACATTAAAAACGCTGAGAACTCAGGAACCAAGAAAAACGCAGTTTAAATAGCGATTTTCCGCAAATATGAAACGCCACGATTTCGCGCGCCGAACCGAATGATGTCATCCGGCACCAATCAGAAGCAAGCACGGGTTTCCGCGGCCTCCGTCAAATGTCTCTCTACTTTACTCCTCGTAAATGAAAAAAATAGGACAAAATATATACTTTCAGAAACAATGAATCGAATCTCATTTATGTTGTCGGTGTTAACAAGCAAGAAATTCACATTAAAATACGTTTTATTTTAACAAAAATGAGTGAAAAATAGGAAGGAAATAGCGATTTAATTGCCGTTGTAAATCACTTCCATCATTTTCCCTCCATTTCAGCGATTTTGAAATGCACACGAGACTTTGGACTCTTTAAAAGCGGGCTTGAGCGGGGGTTCAGCTTAAAAAATAAGCATTAAATCGCAATCTACTCACCTGCACTTCCAGAATATTGAATCAGGGTATGTAACCCTTTGTCATTATCAGCAGTGAGTTCATTTTACGTTTCCATCTAAACGGTAAGTTTTTCTCCGTATGTCGTCAACCATAATAGTACCATAATGATCGGTTCTACCAAGAGGTACCCCACACGTCAACGGTGAGCGGGTTCTTAGGGTCCTCCGTATCAACCAGATACGAGAACCGCATCCCTTCTGGCGTCAGGAACTCCACACCCACGACAACAGTATGCGTCACCGGGCGACTGAACTGGTCGTAGAAGAGCACGGTATCATTATAATCGGTGATGCAGGCGAGTTGATACAGCCCTATTTCATGACCTCGCGAGCGATAGGCCTTGAAGGCGAAGAAAACACCGTCCGCCCGATGGACGAGAAGATCGGTCCAGTCCTTCGCCTGATCTTTTGTGTCGGCGACGGTGACATGGTACTGGACATCCGGGAAGCTCTCGTGCTCCAGTCTGACGAAAGTGTAGAGGGGAGCTGAGTACTCGTGGTCTGTCATGGTGCCGGCCGCCTCGACCAAGGCTTTCGTGGAGACTGCCAGAGCTTGAGCGCTTTGTTTCAAGTTCTTTAAAGCGTCGAAGGTCTCCAGGGATTTTATGAAGGCGTCCGCCTTCGTGACAGCATCGTCTAGTCCCTGGCTGGTCTCTGTTTTGACGGCGGTTTTTGGCCCCGCCTGCGAACACAGCAATGACCATACGGTTAGTTAATGTTGGACACGCGTCGGTGTGATGCAGTGGCGTGGTAAGCTTTGCAATGTATCGATTAATCTGCCATTTGAGCCTATGGAAGAGTATCGATAAACAGGGTGTTCGCAACGAACACCCTAATAATCGATTCTTTATCATAGCTTCAAATGGGGACATATCGATAATCGATCATTCGCGCTGCGCCACTGGTGTAATGCAGAGGATATCCTCATCTTCTCAACCCATGAGTAAAACTACTTTGGTTTCAAAGAGGATCTTCAAAGAAAGTTCGCCGTTAACTTTTAAATAAGATCGCATTAAGGTAAACCAAAGACTTGGACAAACGGTTTTTATGTACACATTCTGATGAGCATTACGAAATACACCAAGGTACCTTAAGGTTGGTTTCTCCATGGCACTGATCCTGAAGGAATAGGGCTAGTCAATCAAAATGCGCATCGAAATATAAGAGCATAATTATTTTTTCAGCATCACTTTGAAGAAAGAAGTAGAAAGAATTCGCTGCAAAAGAAGCTTTAATGATACTTACCTCCCAGGTATTGGCTAGATGAGGGGGAGGAGAAGAGAGAGTAAGGGAGGGGGAAGAGAGAGGGGGAGATAGACAGTGAGTAAGAGAAACAGAGGAAAAAAATTGGTCCACATTCTCACAAAGGAAAAATTATCACAACACAGAACTTACACTAAATGACTTGTAGTGAGAGGATTGTTCGCAAACCGAAGATCATTCAAATATTAACCTAGATATCTTTTTGAAACGACGTCTTTTTAAAATATCGGACACCGTTGACGTTGCCAAATTCTTTCGGGATTTATCAATGTTACACCCGAAGAAAGTTTCATCTGCAGGTACGGTTTCAGGACATTTTGTCAACGATTTTTTGTCCGCGCACCTTTATCATCCAGTAGTTTACGTTTTAAAAAAACACATATTATATAATTATTCTCCTTTGATAAATTTATACATATTTTTTTCCATCAATTTCAATGAGAATAATCAATGCAGAGTGTGCAAATATTTCTAAATCATGAGTTAAAAAACGCTGATTATGCGAGTGTAAATATTAAAGCCTAATAGAGCGGAGCGGCGCGGCGTGCTGCTAGCGCGGGAGGCTCATGGCGCCTACAAACCTAAGTGGATACTTCACGCACTGCACAATGCTTGAAGTATCTACTCAGGTTTGTAGGCGGCAATGCGCGTTTCGCGCTGGCCGCCCGCCCGCCGTGCGGCGGCGCCTGAGGCAACTATTTCACAACAGAGGTGTTGCACAGTATTATAAGAAAATGGACGTATCAAGAATGACAGGCAACCTTTAAGAGTAGAGATCTTTCCTCGCAAAATAAATCAAGATACTTATCATACACAGGAAAAATCTTAGAGCCTTTAGCTGAGGCAAATATATAGGTTTATCCGGTTCAGGTATAACAAGGTTGGAATTTCTTGAAAGATAATTAAGTCCCGTTACACCAAAGAGGTGTAGAGAATTTTAGTGAATTTTGTCTCATGGAATTGACGCTTCCCCAATTTTACCAAAACTCTTAACTATATATTATTCTCCGTTATAGTTGGTACAAACAGACCAAACAAAAAAACAAGCAAACCCTCATTCTTCCAAGACATTATACATTTTCATCCAAAAACGTTGTAAGCAATTGTCGTTTGTATTTACATGTGGGCCAATTAACTTATGGTCTCAACTGGCACGTGGACCAAAACTTCCGTGCAGAAAAAACGCGTGGCCGTATTTTACTGGGAAAAACAGGTACGCGGACAAAAAACCGTCCACGAAATGTCCCATAACCGCAGGTACTATCATTCGAGGGTAGATTGACGAGAAGGTACTCGGTTGTTAAATCTTCTCCGTGCACTATTCATCCTTGAGAAAACTTTTCAATGATTTTCTTCAAATTTCAGCTGCACAGGATTGAATTACGAATTGAATCACGTGAGCTGAGATAGAAAGTCTGAAGGTATGAAGGTGACAGTCTAGAAATGCGATCTAAAAATTCGAAAAAAATGACAAGTAGTTGAAGTTATGGAACGAATCGATGCGATATGACGCACGTCGCTCTGACACAAAAATGGCGTCCGTCAAATCACCTCAATATTGCGTTCTCCCTCAGCATGGCAGCGTGACATTGCGTTTTTCAACGAGGCGAGAATAGAAATATGGCGAAGTGAAAAAAAAAATGCAACTTCACTACAAACCAAAAGAGGGACCAAGTTGAAACAAAGACCCCTAAAAAATGTTGTCTTCTCCTCACAAAATCTTCGTGGGGACCTGCACTTATGCGATAGGAATTACGAATCTGTACCGTCATACGATGGATCGAGTCAATTAGAGAAGTCGGACATGAAATTTTTGACTAAAACTGCAAATTATTTATGTTTATTTCGTCAAATTTTACATTTTAAGGGGTGCTTCCAAAAGAAAATTTCACTAGAAAAACCAACTGAACCACTTTTAGAACCTCAAAATTTTGTATGAACGGAGTTATAAACGTTTAAAGTTTCCAAATTTTGTCCGACCTCTCCTATTGACTCGATCCGTTGTGCGCAAAAACATTACTGTGCGTCAGTTGAATAGCTGTAAGTCACAATGCAAACTCCTGGAGGGGCAAAGGGACAACACTTACAGGATGGGACGAAGAGGGCGTGCATGATGATCCCTACAAAATGCTCTCTAAAAATGTAACACTTATTTTGAGGAGATTTTAAACGTTTGGTGACCAAAATTTAAGAAATACATGTGATGTGAAGATGACGTGAGATAGAAATTCACGGTTGACTTACCGCAAGAGGTCGTAAGTGCGCAGCTGAGCTGAAACCGAGTTCATCATCTATCAGCCTTGAAAATCCGAAAGTCTGCTTGAAATAGAAAGAAAAAAGTCAAAATTCGGTAACTTTTATACACTTTTTATCATTATTGAAAGGGATGTGAGCTCGGAGGTCGGTATTTTTGAACGGATAATGTCAATATCTTCATAGCCTCGCGGCGAGATTTTTATCTATGAGGACTACCATAGATATTTGGGAAGTAAACGTAATAAAATATGAGATAACATTCCACGATTACTTATTGACTTGAGAGACCTCGATGAGACATGAATTCTTGGTGGGATAAAGATGTCTAGAAGCCTAAAGTCAAGTTCATCAAACAAACTCTTCTGGAAAAGTTAAATGGCGGGTGAGGAGGGCGCTAATATTCTGCCAAAAGAGTAAAATTTAAAAAAAAAGAGAATGTAGTATCTTTCAAAAAAGAGATAAAACACACATACCTCAAGCACTATCAAAATCAATGTATTTAAATACGGAACAATTCGACCTGACTTGGGACTTAGCGTGTAAAACAAAGTTTTCAGAATCTATGGCTAAAAAGAGGGTCAATGTTCGATGTCAGCATTTCGGGATTTTGGCCGTTACCTTTCGGAACGTAGTTTATGGAAAATATATCTTCGATAGAAAATCTCCAAAATGGAATGACTTATGAAATCTCAGTTTAAGATAACTTATTTTTTTTATTTATTTTTTTCAAATCACGCTCACCTGAGGTATGAGATATATAACAAACAAGAATCTTAACATTTTAAACGGAGTCGTAAAAACCTCACAACCAGAGTTGTTACTCATATTGAAGTCGAGTAACGAACTGGCAATGAGTTTAGGCAAAGCACAGACATCACTATCAGAAAATTAGTGATGGTAACTAATCATTGAAACCGAGATAAAAATTATCTTCGTAAGGTTGTATGATTGAAAAAAAAGCATCATTATTATGAGAAATTGATATCACCCAAATGGACAGGGTGTTCCGGAAGTCAAAATCTAAACTGAACTAAAACTCCCTCTTGTGTCGTTTAGTTTGATGACTGATTTGACAAAGTGACCGATTTTTTCTCGATCTCGTGAGCTCTGTGCTTTTCTACACGTAAGTTTTTCGTACATAACAGACGTTGTAAAATTTCCAAATTAGGAACAACTGTATCAGCCTCAAGTGTGGTGTCGTTCTTAGTAATACGTGTAATAGCTGAAATTTTAGTTTGGAAACTCTCTCTTTTGTTTAGTTTGATGATTGAATCGACAAAGTGCCCCATTTTTCCTCTCGTGAGTTGGTACTTTTCGACGAAGAAGTTCTCCGCATATAAAAGATGTTGTAGAAGTTCCTTAATTTCCAGATTAGGAACAACAATGTCAACTTTGTGTGTGGTATCGTCTTTACTGATAATTGTGTAGACTCCATTTTCCTGCAAGAATTGTAGCATAAGTTGCTCTACCTGAGTTGCTTTATTCGCCTCATTTTTCGGCTTTGAGACCAAATCATGCAAATTCTTAATATCTTGCTCACTGAAGGGTTGGAATTTTTACCTATTGTTGTATTTTTTTCAAGATTTTTTTCAATACCTTTACCAAATTTATCATATTTGAGCAGCTCTCCGAACTAAAAAAGAATACGTATTGTCTTGTAATCCTGCAATGTCTCTCTGCTCTACTCCATTAATTTGGAGAAAGGACAAATAGCCAGCATTTTTTCGTTTGTGGCTAACGAATGACACCCTAATAGGTTTTTCAAGTCTCTTGGACCGACTCTGATAGACCAGATTTCCCTACAAGGTGTTCGACATTCCTGAACCTAGGGAATGAGGGTTTTGCATGTGTGGGGGATTATCGATTTAAGTAATTTTTCTTGCGTAAAATTTCGCCAGAAGCACGGTGGTCCCTCTTGTTTTCTCTGACACGAACTCCAAAGCCCAATAAAAGCTCTCGAAGTTGAGGATGTAATGGAGGGGATATCCTGCGCTGCCCTAAGGGTCCATCTCTACATCGATTCAAAATCTCCATGCAAAGGTAGATAAATACATTAGCAGAGTTACCGTGTTTTCAGTTTTGGAGTACACATCCACAAACATAGTGGGAGCCCGGTCAATGTATTTGCTCCCCATCTTTGCATGGAGTGTTTGACTTGATAGGGAGGTGGACTCTCAAGATGGCGTGAGCATCCCCTTCATTATGGTCTCAATTTTGAGAGCTTCCTTTGAGCTTAAGAGTTTATTTCAGAGAAAAATAATGGCACCATTTTGTTTCTCACAAAATTTAACACATGAATCAGCGCTTAAATTGCAAATTCCATGAATCCTGACACACGAAAGAACTCTATTGAATGTCAATCTTTCATTCTCGAGCGAAAGGGAAATCTACTTCAGGAAATGTGGATGATCGTATGAATTGATACAAAAATACTGTAATTTGTGGTGCCTTCACATATTGAAAATGGGAGTTACCATTTATATTTTTTTTTTATATGAGGGCTCATAAGGATCGCCTTCTCCCATCATAGGCGAACAGTTGTGTATGACATTTTTCTTCTCTTCCTGTTTCTTTTTTTTAGTGTTTTCGAGTAATTAGTTCTCTCTTGAACACCTTGTGAATAATGTTGATAGGGTTCAAAGACAATCTTCCAGGCTAATTGCGCACGATGAGAAAATATATTTTTACGATTAGTTCAACATAATTATTTAATACAGTAGAAAAAGTTCTTCATAAGATTTATTCAAAGTTTACGACGATGCGATACAATGTACCTCAACGAAAACCGTTTTTTTTTACATTGTTGCATTGTCGCCACGGAACAGCATACAGCGCATGCCGTGACAGCCAGGAGCGTGGCGTGGATATCGACCATCGATATTATCCCAGTTGAAACTATATGGTGAAGAATCGATTGTTAAGGTGTTCGTTGCGAACACCTTGTAAATCGATCCTTTCCCATAGGTTTAAATGGTAGATCAATCGATAGATCGCAAAGCACGCCACGCCACTGGTGGCAGCACGGTGTAATCTACATCTCATATTTTATCTCCGTTGGAGTAATTGACCCACGAGTTAAGACGGGAGCGAAAAAAGAAGAAAAAAAATTTAAGACGGAAGAGGGGCCACGTATTGAGCTGTCTCAGTCTGTTACAAAACTGAAACTCTGTCGTGAGGAAATATGTATATAGATCGTGCCATTTTCCTCTTTTAAAATGTTAAGGCTCCTGATTTTCACGTACCTGATATTTCAGGTAAGTAATATCTAGAACACCATAATTACTCTCAGTTAACCTCTGAGTGTCTTCAATCGTGTTTTCGGTTTGAGCAATTTGGTTTTTTTGTTAATTGGTCCGAGGGCATATGTTAAAAAAAAAAAAAAAAACTTGCAGTGGAACTGTAAATGAAGCAAGTGTGAAAAATGGCTCAGTCTCTTCGTTTTGACGTGTAAAAAAGAATTCCGATGTTGTCAAGCTCAAATTTGCGTCCAGCCCCTCAGATTCAAGATGGCGGCGAAATTGAGGGCTGGGGAGTTGAAGATTTTGGAATTTGCCTTTGATGTCGTGTTTGAGGTCTATCTTTATGTAATTTTGGTTGTAGAATCCGAAAAAATTTCCACCTCTGAACCTAAAAATGCAATCTTCTTTTCCCAATCGATTAAAGATTTTCTAGGAGATAGGTGCATGGTACGAGGAAATGGATGCTATTTCCGAATTTGCTAGCCGAATATACAGGGTGATCTAGAGTATTTTTATAGGGACAGTATGGACAACTCAAAAATTTGGAGGTTACGCTTGACCAGGTCATGTAGCTCTCGAGGCCCAAAAAGGCAGCCAAGCTATGAACTCAAATTATCCAGTGATACTTATTTGAACCGCACACCATTTAACCAGGCACACCGATCAAAAATTCTAAAATGATCAACCTTCGAGCCCCTATACTGACCGCAATCTTGTATCTTGCTTTCGACTCAATTTGTGCTTGACAACATCGATATTCTGCATAGGCGGTTCTACGGGGGTGCCAGTGGGTGCCATGCACCCCCAAGCAAAAATTAAGTACGGTTACTGGAACCGTGAAAGAGGCTTTTGGGCAAGTGAACACGTCAAGAAAAAATCGTATTATGAAGCGTAAAAAATTGGCAATATTTTTATTTCATGAATTTTTTAAATCTGAAAATTGATCTAAAAAAGACCAAATTACTGCTTTTAAAGATTCTGTATTCGCTCACACTGAACAAAATCCCAGCAATTAATTGAAAATGTTTTAAACAGAATTAATATTGATAGCCGTGTTTTACAAAGATTATACTGCTTTTTTTATGGTAAGAATGCAGTTTTGGTGAAAAGTTTTGCTAAAAATTTTCTACGTTGAATTTATAAGTATTTAAGTAGAAAGAAAGGAGAGAAAAAGGGAAAGGAGGGTAGGAATGGGATAAGAGGGCCGGAAATTAGGCCTCCCCTGAGCGACCGTCCCCTTTGGGGCCGGTCTCCGACATTTTCCACCTCTGGGCACCCCCAAACATGAAGGTCTAGAACCGCCTATGCAAGACAGCGAAACGAAGATATTAATATATTTTCCACGCTTACCTCACGGTTCCAAGGGAGTACATAATTAAGTACCCGGACTGGATTTTTTATTCATTTGTTTTTTTTTTCAACAGACCTATGGATTCCTCGTGTATCCACAAGACGATTCCAGTCCATCAGATGAAGAGCCCAGTCCATCGCCGCACTTACGACCTCTTTTGGTAAGCTAACCTCCAATTTCTTTGACATTACGATGGCTGACCTCGCAAACCACCCAAGTCTGTTTGTGACGTCAAAAATTACTCTGCGAGGTTTACTTATTGCTCTATCGTATTTCTTTAGTTCTTATTTAATGTTATGAATAAAATATGTCAAAAAGTAATCAGTAAAATTCCTTGAAAATGTTCGCAATTTTTCTCGTAAATATGAAAAATATTTTGTGAAGATATCAAGAAATAATGATGGCTCTATTCCTTTAGAACAGAAAGAGCGGATATTTTGAAGGACTGCAATCGAGGAATGAATCAGTGAGTTCGAAAACACACCAACTCGGAAAACATATTTTTACCAGGAAACACCTACAACTGCGCAGCGGGCGAAGAAGTCAGTATAAGAAAAACCTTTTTGGTGCCAAAGCACAAGTACTTAGAGACTTTGTAAAGCACCGAGTTGAAATCGATACACCATGTTTGATGACAGAGAATTAAGCGTTTTCGTTCTCACCGACTTTCAGATACTGATTTTTCATGGTCTGCCAAGAAAAATTTTCATTTTTCGACCTGAATAACGCTTGAATATTTATATAATTCGTTGGTACAAGGTATACTGAACCGAAAAACGAAAACCGCCAGATTGGATGGTCACCCGTTTCCCTTGAAATGGCCAAAAATTAGTATTTCCAATGAAATACTTCGATTTTTCCCTTTTCCCGTCACTGTTTCGAGCACTTCCGATTGCAATTTCGAAATTTCCTTTTGCGTGCAGATGCAAAAGGAAAATATCCATATCCATAAGTGTTACTGAATCGTAAAAAAAAGTTAGAAAAACCCGAGTTGGTGTGTTTCCGAACTCACTGATTCTAATGTGGCTTCCGGGTTTAGCCATCGATGCTATATAACTTACAACAGCCAAGAGCCCCTTCAAATTAGGCCATTACTTTATGCCAAAAAATTAGTTTTCAATTAGAAATCGGGGCTGAGGGGGAGCAGGTGGAGGTGAGGCCAGGGAGCCCAAACGGGCCAAAACCTCAGTTTTAGGACCTTTTCAATGACTCGAGATGGCTAAAATCAAAATTCGTGTCGCGGCATTTTGATATACTTACCCAGGGATATCCTTTGAAATTTGAGACCGTCTTGAACAAAATTTGAGCAGTGTTTCACGTGTGTCACGCACATGTGTTTCTCATATTCGATTTATCCACCAACTATACCTCCAACGCCTCCCATCAAGCGACGCTGAAAGCAAATGCCAATTTGCAGTAAAATTTTGGGTCCTGTACAATCTATTTCTTGTCTGTTTCCAGTTGGCTGACCATTATGATGGGGCCTCGGGTATCGTGTATAATATTGACGACTCGTTTTGCAAACTCGTAGACGACCCAACATTCATCGACAGAACCCGGTTCATCATACATTTCTACGAGCGAAAAGAGTTGATGGTCATTCATGCGCCGCCTCGTTTCGGCAAGACATCCAACCTGAAGATGCTGCATCTGTTTTTCGACATCCCTGTCGACCCTTACGGAACCCCCGTCCAAAATTACATCAAGCAAAAGCGTGCTTTCTTCGATGATCTCCTGACGTGTAGAGACATGGACAGTTTCTCTTGTATGGATTACATTGCAAGCCACCCCGTAATCTTTTTAGACTTTATGGAGCTTGATACAGAGAGCATGGAGAGTTTTAAAGTTTCCCTCCGTATGATGATGAGTGCACTCTTCGAAAGCCACGGTTACCTAGCGAATAGTCCGCTTTTAAGTAGAGAGGAACACGGTATATTCCACAAGGACGCACACCCTACACTCAAAGAAGACGTGGGTGCCATGGGTGGTCTGATTTTGGCGAGATTACTGCACAAACATCATAATCGTAGTTGTATAGTGCTCATCGACAATTATGACGCTCCAGTCGCCAAAATGATTGTCAAAGGAAACAAAGATGACTCAATGAGGCAAATATTGAAAACTCTCACTGACCTGATGAAAGGGCTGTTCAAGGATAACACATTTGTCAGTCACTCCCTCTTAACCGGCATATCCTCTATTGGTAGTGTTTACACTCAAGAGGTGAAGAATCTGAGCCACTACTCGATTTTTGAGAACGCAACACTCAGTAATTTCTACGGTCTCAAGTTCAGGGATGTTGAATACTTCGTGAAGAGATTTGGTAGTCAAAAGTGGGTCAATGAGGCTCGGAGAACCTATGAAGGATATCACTCTTTGGCCACAAACGAAAAAATGCTCGCTGTTCAATCTTTCATCAAATTTATAGAGGATAGTGGAAAAGTGATTGATTATGAGCCAATACCTATTCTTCTTCAGCTTGAAGAGTTGCTCAAATATGATAAGTTTGGTAAAATTATTGAAAAAACGCTAGAAACAAATACAACAATAGTTAAAAAACGTCCACCCTTCAGTGAGCAAGATATTAAGAATTTGCATGGTTTGGTCTCAAAGCCGAAAAATGAGGCGAATAAAGCAACTCAGGTAGAGCAACTTATGCTACAATTCTTGCAGGAAAATGGAGTCTACACAATTATCAGTAAAGACGATACCACACACAAAGTTGACATTGTTGTTCCTAATCTGGAAATTAAGAAACTTCTACAACATCTTTTATATACGGAGAACTTCTTCGTCGAAAAGTACCAACTCACGAGAGAAAAAATGGGGCACTTTGTCGATTCAATCATCAAACTAAACGACAAAAGAGAGAGTTTCCAGACTATGATATCAGCGATAAGGTCGCTGTTTGAAAAAGTGATTCCAGAAACAGAGTCTGAATTTCGGGCCCCTTTGTATTCTCTTCCGCGGCTGATGGGCAACGAATCGTTTTTGCGAGTGGATAATGAAGTTTTGGGCCCAAATAAAACGATATTAGATACATTGCTTATAAGAAAAGACAAGACGTTGATAATATTTGAATTCAAATTCGAGCGTGATTCTGCTTCAGCCGCGCTTCTTGATGTCGTGAATAAGAAGAAGTATGAAGTTAAAACCGACGAAAAACCCCTCAATACAATTTTAATAGGCCTTCATTTTAGTTCTCGTAGAGATTGCAGCGTAAGTTACCTTTATAACAAGTTTAACGCCAAGGAAGCCATAGCAATAGAAGAGAAGATAACATAAGAAATCCGTCTCTTTGAAAATAATGCTGGAGCCAACAATTTATATTGTAAACAGGCATATGTAGTTATATCCCTGTATTTAAGAAAATATTATAAAAGGTGCAATAAAAAACGATAAAGTAACTCAAATTTCAAATTTCATCCAACCCTCCCCGAAAGTCATAGTTATACTTCAGAACGATGTGATTGAAGCCACGATGAACAAAAATCGACGGTGTAAGTCGGCAATCACATAACTCGTTTAAGGTGTCTGAAAATCTCCGCCTCTATGTTATTTCTTTAAAAGAAAACAAATCGACATCATTCCTTGAAGTTTCTGTAGAATGTTCTTCGCACAGAGAAGAAAAATCACGGCAGTTTTAAAGAATAGCAGTTGAGTGGTTTTCCGTTAAAAAAATAAAGTATGGCAGGAAGTCAGTGACGTCGCAAACCGAGTTATGTGATTGCCGCTTTACACCATCGATTTATGTATGTTTGATCCGCCATGAAATCATTTTAATTTTATTTTGGAATGTAATATTTTGTAACTGTTTGCCCTTAAAATTACAAAAAGCTTAACTGGACGTTAAGTCTAATGAACGGATAGTAAGGGCATGGAAAATTATCAAATTAATTCACCTATAAGTGTAGCAAAACCCTCAGTAACAGACTCTTCATTTTAGAAGTAAGTCAAAAGGCTACACCCCCAACCGTGTTGATTCTTAATTAGGGAGGTTGATGGAATTAATACTCTAGCAAAAATTTTGTTAAGTACAGTCAAGTCAATCCGGTCTCACAACTTCACAGAAAACTAAAGACGATCATCGTTGTGTGATACACTCACTCACATAAAATCACAGTACACTGCAAATGTCTCTTATCCATCATATGTACTCTCTTCTTTTACAAATTCGTTTAGATGAGAAAAAATATGTTTGGTACTTAATTACTCTTAATTGAGAAACAACGTCAAATGACGTTGATGAAATGACGTCAAATGCGCGTATTAATGAGCGTTAATTTTGGCTCTAATTTTGATAGGGGTGGAAATGTCTGAATTATTAATTGATATATTATTGTCTGAAATATTAAAGTGAACACTATGTTTTGATAGCATTGAACTTTACGTGTAGTTAAAAGTTCACATACCTCAGCTCTGATCACACCACAAGCTATTTATTATTCAGTCATTAAATACGGTAATCAACCGAATCATTAGTTCCGCCATTTAAGATATAACAAAAAAGGACATACAGGGTTATTCAAAAGTCACGCACCACTGGCCATAACTCTAGTTCTAATTTAAGGATTGGATACACACGGCGATTAATCGCCGCGATTGAAAGACGAAAGCCAATGGAGCGCCTTGATTTCGATCCATTGCAGTCGATATATCGAAATCAAGGCTCTCCATTGGCTTTGGTCTTTCAATCGTGGCAATTAATCGCCGTGTGTATCTAGGCCTTAAGATATCGACTTGCGGTTTGTGACGTTTTTCCTCTTATCGAGGGGAAAACTTTTTTAGGTACTCTCCAGTTTTTGACCCCCTCAGGGGGAGGAGGGCGGGGGGGGGACAACTAAACATTTTCAAATGGCCACCCCCCTCATGGACAATGGTGCGTGACTTTTGAATAACCCTGTATCTCACTTTTGAAGTTTTAACCTTTTTAAAAACGGCTTACATTTTTTTGTAATATCAAAATAATTGACTAATTTTGATATCAAAATTCATTTTTCAGCTCTTTGAATCTCGGTGTCTACATTTTGAACTGGCGCAGCCATGATGAGACAGAGGGATTCTTCCTTTCGTTACGCCGTAAATCGAGTAACTCTGATGTAAGATTTCTAATCTTAATGCATTATTGTAAAAACTATGGAGAATTCATGAAAACAGCGT